GTGTTTTACCTCAGATAAGGACTTAAGTTCTCCCATCGCTACCTTTTCTCCAAGTAAATTCTTGAATATATCTAAATCAGTTTCAGTATCATGTCAGTTGTTCTTGAAGGTCAACAGTGCTACAAATAACCTGTGATATGAAAATACTACATGAAGCTTCTAGCTTTATACTGTTAAAATGTAATATTTATGGCTTCGCACCAGTTTTAAATCTCAGTCGGTATGCAAATCTATGTGTGTTATTGGACAATACTGAAAAGTGAAGATTGATGCATTAAAATAAATAAAAATTGTTAATTGATATGACCTGCTGAAGTCTTATATTAGTTTGATTAACTGTAAAGAATGTAAAGGAATGATCATGTTCTATTCTAAATTCATATATTTATATGGAGGGAAATAACAGTATCTATAAAATGCTGTAGCTTTTTAACATGATGTTCATTGTATTCAACTAGGTATGTATGATCTAAGTACCTGTTTCTATGCTGAGGCCTAATGCTTCAGTATGATATAAAAGCCTCTGCCTTAAAGATTGCAGTTCTTTTTAGTTTGACTCAAATAGGAAGCATGAATTACTACTGTTAAATTAAAGGTTATTTTAATTTTTTAAATAGAAAATTCAAAATACCTGGAATCCATGTAAGGTGCTTCATGGTGCACAAAGTTTTTTAGCATTGGTCCATTAATGCTGCAGAATGCACTGCATTTGTTGATTTGAGATTATCAGCGCACAGATAATTAACGCTGGCCTGGTTCATTCTCAGCTCTTATAACGAGAAATGGCTGAACATAAAAACCTTTTCTGGCTGCTCTGTGCAGTAAGTTGGTTAGCCAGATATGTAGGTTAAGATACTAAGAATTTCCTTTTCTAATGACCTTTTCCATTTTGGAATTAATTCAGATCATTTTACAATCAGGCACATGTATTCTTTTTTTGCAATCATGACATGGGAAATTCTGTTCTTCACATCTTGTCTGAGAGCCCTTGCAACACTGTTGCACAGAGCATTTTCATCTATACCTTTAGACATTCTTACATATTCTGAGAAAAAATTGGTGGGCCTATGGAAATGTCTTACCAATGATTCAATTTTTTTTTCTTCAATAAAATGAAAGAATCAATGAATTATTGTTTTGGTGGTTTTTTTTTTCCCTCTGGTGTTACTTCTCTGGAGATTGGATTCTGGGGCACCTGAGCAGCTTTGAATGTCTTCTGAATTTGGGAGCAAAATTAGTCTCTTTATACTACGTATTTTTATGAACTTAATATTGACTTCATCCCAGCTTCACATAAAAGAAAATTCCATTAGTGTGCCCGCACGTTCTTTGCAGGGAAAGAACACGTGCAGACATGTAGTGTAACTGGTGGGAAGCCTTTCTTTTTTAGGAAGACAGATTAAAAACTACAAATCCCAAAATGTAATTGGAGTAAATAATGTGCTAACCAGTACATAATGCTTCCGTATTTTTAAGGTTGCATTAGTTAGTTTGATGCACCATTAATAATAAATACATTCTTGTTTGAAAATAAGCCAATTGTTTGTACACTGATTGTTGGGTGATACATAAATTGATATTATGACCAGCTATAGGAGATTTGAACTCTTATTTTAGACTTGGTGGAAATTCTAGAGCATGACTTAACCCCCAAATATCTGCAGATCTTGCATCGTACAATTAATGACTTCAGAGAAAGCCTTTTGTAATGTAGGACTCTTAGTACTTTTGGAGATAACAGAAAACTGTCCACCCATGTTTTGGGGAGCTTGACTTTTTGCCACATGGAGAGAAAGGATTTATGTTTATGCAAATAGTGGGATTGAAATCCCCACATGGGGTTATATTCAGGGGGCAGCTGCTGCTTTTACTTATCATAAGCAAGAACAATGGGTGCTTTGGAACTGTACTTGCCTCGCAGCTTGCCCCCGGATTGGGGAAGAGAGAAATCCCTGCCCTAATGTCTGCTTAATTGCCTTCCTGTCAAAAGACATAGGTGCCTGAAAGGCTTGAACATAACCTATAAATAAACCAAATAATTACAATTAAATAATCTGGTACCCAAGTAAAGGACCAAATGATAAATAAATTTACGGATATCGTCAGTTATCCCTTCTTGTGATATTGATATAATAATAGTAGAGTTACCTACTTAAATTAGGATCTATAAACTTAGCTGTGATTTTTCTGTGGGTTAGTTTTCAAGCAGCAGCTTGGGGGGAAAAAAATTGAATTAAAAATTGTGTGGAAAAATTTAATTCTAATTGCTGTTAAATCTATTAAATGTATTTCAGAGTGTTCATATAGCTCAGATTTTTTATTTAGAGAGGTGTGTCCTGAGTGCAATTTTTTTTCCCCTGACTCCCATGGAGAAGGCTTAGTTCCTTGCATGCTAAGAGTATTTTGTTTCAGAGTTAATCTGAGGCAGTAGGGAATTTGTACTGTGGTTTCTGACAAACTTTATTGTTTGTACCATAATAAACCAAAGAAAAATATTTGAAATACAAGGTTGTTGGAATAACACATGGAAGAGAAGGATGAGTCCTGTTTTATAGTCACCCCTTCACCTCCCCCCAGCATCTGTGACCAGCTGTAATTATAGAGGGACAGGATGCCAGCCCAGACAGACTTTTTCCTCCCAATCATAATGGTAATTTTTACCTTACCCCCTCTGATGCTGCAGGACTTTGATTCACTCTGGAATTCATTTGTATTTGCATGAAGATAATTCACTTCATCATAGCTCTATTGTGAGTTTAAGAGTGCAGATGCATAGATCTTCTTGCAAGATAAGAACTTCATTTTCAAGTTTTTAACAGTTTGAATAATGGTTTAATTAAATACATCATTATTGGGATGGAGGGAATAGTTGTTTAATTTCAAACTGTAGATGATGTTGAAGAGCAAGAACATTGATAGTCTGTTTCAGATTCAGCCTGTTGCCTGTAATGTGTAGTTGGTTTTTTACTTCTAAAATTTCAGTCCTCTTTTTTCTGACAATCTTTTTTAATAGCAACAATTAGGTATCACATTAACATGATTATTTTCAAATACTGAATTACAAAACCAGGAAATAAAAATAAAACCTGTTGATATATTCATCTGTATACTCTGATATATTTGGATACTTGGTTTTTGTATTAGCAAATGTTTTAAGTAGCAAATAGCTGAGATACTGTAAGATCTTGGCTGAGATTTGCAGCAGTAACTAGTGGTCGCTTGCAGATTGCTGGAGCACTGGAGATTTGCAGAAGTGACTGGTGTGTCACTTCTTGGATGCTTCTCGATGTCTTTATAGGAACTGATTTCTTTTTTTCATGTTGCTGTTTTATTCTTTGAGCATTTGGTGTGTCTAGTTAGACACTCCAAATGGCTAGTTATCTTGGAACTCTCGCCTTTTGCCTTTAGATAAAATATGTGAATGTTGAGCTCTTAATGGAAACCTTTTTTTTTTTTTAAATGATGGTGTTATCGTTCAATAGAAGACATTCTAGAAGTCTATGTTTTAGCAATGTCAATGTCATTAGTTTTTCCTTTTTGTCCCTTTTGCTTTCTTTTAACAAGATCCCCGTTCACTGTAGAGTAAAATGAGATATATATGTATAATTTTTTTTAATGTGGTAAAAAAAAAAAATCTTATCAGATTGGACTCCAATGTTATAGTTAACCAACCCCTCCAGCATTTATTATGTTATTTGCTGTGGTAACCCCTAGCTGTGTCCATTGTTTGGCTGGGATCATTGGCAAGCTGCAGATGCCTTCGGCCTGCAGATGGGAAGGATTGGCCGTCTACCACAACAGGCTTTGGTCTAAGTGGGTGCACCAACACCATTTAGATGCTAATGTGATATAAGCTCGCTGTTTTGTACTAGAACTTGACTGCATCTCAGGAATGTGGCCTGTCTGGTTTTACGTTGGCTTCAGCATTAAAAGGGCCTACTGTAATTCACGTCTGCCAATCGATTAAAGCTGCAATCTTCTGTTTTACGGCTTTGTGCCAAAGGAAATTGTTGGGGTTAGTGGAGAATTACATACTTTTTTTTGGTTCTCCCTGATCTTACCTGCTGATCGGTAAGCTTTTTGTTTGCCATCTACAATTAGGGAATAAAGTAAATTTGCTATGTGAAGCCATATATGGCATTGGCTTTACTGATAGGGTTGAATTTTTTTTTTTGCTGTTCATGTTATATGGTGGGGTAACTAAATGCTATATTGTTCCTTTCTGCTTTTCTTGCAAATATGAAGTAGAGTATATTTCTGTATTTTTACCAGAGATGTGAGAGTTTTCTGTTGTTAGGCTATTTTCTGGTTCAATGGAATACATATTCTGGTCCATGTTTTAGAAGTGGTGAATAAATGAATAACCTAGGCATAACAGGGACACGTTATAATAAATTTAAGTTCTAGTTGCTGCATCTTAGCAGCAATTTGCTGTATTTTGTGCAGGAAAAAAAGGATGTGTGCATGGTGCAAACACATATTTAAAAAGTAGCCCTGGGAATAAAATTTTTGTAGGCCTATTTTGTACATGAATGCAGTACTCATCAGATTTTCTGTGCTGCACTCCCTACATAGTCTTGTTGTAAAATAAAACAATAACTGTTTATTTTGTTTTCTCAAAACATACATTCTTTAAGATTTTTTTGTTAAATGTGTTGAATGATAAGTTTCTTCAAGATTTCATTACTGTATTAGGTGAAACATGCCTGGAGGGAGCACAGGGAAGGAAAACTGTAAATCTGGTTGGACTCAGCTAGCAATTACTTTAGCAGATAAAACAAAATATGCAAATATCTCCTGAGCACTCTTAAGGCTGATCTTTCAGACACTGACTGCCTGTATCCCTAGCCAAAAAAGGATGTATGATAATTAGATTTTGAAGGACCATGTGCTGTTGCTACAGAGCTAAATATTAAAATGCAAGAAAGCAGACTACCACATGGCACAATTGATTTTTATGGCAGTTCATGTTAAAATGCTCTCTTTTTATATTGCCTTTTAGGTTACCTAGGGTGAAACAAAATTACAGGCTTGGAGACTCTGGAAAAGCTCAGCATCAGCATTTGAGGTAAAAATGAACATACTGAAGTAATCTTGGGAGTGTCCTTCTTGTTAACTTTATGGAACTTATGGGAGTAGAAATTTTCATCAAGATCCATTTTGTATTTAAGTTTTCAGTATTGATTTAAAAAAATTTGGCTTCAGAATCTCTTTTTAGGTCTGGGAAAACTCATACTTTAGGTGAATATATTGCGTAATTTTTTTATTTTAGAGCTTTGAGAACATTGTAGATCTGCTTGGATACGGTATTTTTGTTTTAAGTTGTGGTTCTACAGAGTGGCTAATACATCTGTGAAATTCTTTGTCATGAATTACTATCTTTCCTTATTTTACTTGTATAGCTAAATGTATTTTTATGCAAATGACCATTTTAATTGCATGATATTTTTACTTTTATTAAAAAACACGTGTTAATATACTTAGGAAGAAATGGTTGTTGCTTTTTCATGAGTTTACTGTATTTACGGCTTCAAATTGAAATACTTTAAAGAATGAATTCTGGGTTTTTTTAGGATTTTTTAACATTTAATTCAAGTGAAATGAAAATACGTGTGCATGGAAAAAGCAGTACAATTATACAGAACATAGTAAAATTATGTAGAACATACTACTACTGTATTTCTCACGTGAACCAGTTATTAGCATTAATCATAGTAACCTGTTAAATAGGATTAGGGAAGTACACTTTACTTGCACATTTAAACTACCAAAAATTAGCTTTTAAATCACTTTTAAATTTTTGTTTCTACTAAACTAAAATAATTCATGTTCAAGATGGACTTAAATAGTTCATTTTCTGTCAGCAAGTTACAGTGTAGGGTTGACACATTTAAATGTTTATAAGCAACTGAATTGCCACAATTAACTCTGCTATTCCTTTTCAGATCATTTTTATAGTTCATAGGTTTTGTTGTTTTTAAGAGCCGAAGCTTGCAAATTATGTGATTAATCTACAAGCTGATATCATGATGTCAAAATGCAGTTCGGGAAGCATAAACACAGAGACTGCGGAAATTAAAACGGTAAGACTATGCTTTGTAGTATGGGAGAAGCAGGTTTTTATGTATCACTTCACTGTATTCTCCTATTTTATATTTAAAGCTTCTTCAGGACCATAGAGTAAAGTAACTTCTGTGCGTGAGGTTATAGAAATTCACAGTGAATTTCTTTGGAAAGAATAATGAAAGTAGCTACTTTATTTTATCCATAGATGGTTAGATACAGCAATGGCATAGATAAAGTTGTTTGCTATGAAACACATGCTTTGATATTTCTTACAAAGCTGAATATGATTAGAAATGTATTCAGCTTTTTAAAAGGGCGTTGTGTGTTTAAATGTTTCTTGTGGATTTTGTATTCAAATATGGCTGGGGGGGGGGGGGGAAAGTAAATTAAAAAAAAAAAAAAAAGGGAGAAAAAGTGGGAAGAGGGGAGGTATGAAGGGTTGGAATTAGAATTGAATTTATAAGTTGTTCTAGATACAAAGTAAATGGTGAGGAAAGTAAATGGCAGATAAATTAAGACCTTAGTTTCAATAGTATCCTTCAGTTTGAATTAGAGTTCAGCAAAAACAAGAAAAGAGGCTGTCCAATTAAAGCTATGTAGAAGAAAAATTGATATGTAGTTTGATAACATAGTGAAGACAGAAATGTATATAGTTTCACTGGTCCTCACCTTGCCTTGCATCTTAGGTGCCATAGGCTTCACGTTTTATCTTTTGTCCTCTGTGTTAAGGAGGTAAAAGAAGAGAAATCTGCATAGCACCAGTTCTGCACCACTGATTAAGCAACTACATAGTTAGGACTGTTGCACAGGGCCTTATACACATTGTTTTAAAAAATGAAACAGTTTGTTCCAGAATCGGGCTGCATGTCTGTATTTGTTAAAGGAGCAACATCCCCTTTCTAGACTCCTATTCTGAATGCCTCATGTACTGGTGTCACTATAGATATGATAGAAAACTAATTTTTGTTTTCATGTTTTATTTCTGTACTGGTAAATGTCCTACAGCCCATGTATGCTATGCTGATATATAGTGGTATAATCCTGTTGCTTTAGAGACTGTTACAGTGTACAGCAGCATAACTTTGTTGGTGTGATCTGTGTCTTGCTGGCTCTGATAGAGCTAGAATAATTGCAACGGAAAGTGTTTATTAAGCTTTTGCATCAAGTCCAGGTTTGGTCATACTGGTGACTGAACACTAGATGAAGGACTTAAGGGATTGTGTGTTTTTCTGAGTCTGCTAAGTGTCACGTTGTACTCCATTTCTCTCCTATATACAGACGTTTAGGAGGAGTCTGCCAGGAATTCCAGCTGTTAACTATACTGTATTGCTTGTAGAAATGCTTCAGAAGCAGCTCATTCGAACGTAGAGCGTCAATGTAATCTTCATTTAATAAGCTCTTTAATGAAACTTTTCTGAATAACAGAAAGCAGCCTTTGCTGCTTTGGTAGGTCTTGGTATGCTATTAGAGACCAATGTTCTGCTTGTGCTGTTAGACTGGTTCTGTATCAGAAAAACAGAACAAATAAAAATCTTCTAGTTCAAGATGAATATTCACAACGAATATGGATGATTGTGCTAGGGAAACCAGGGAAGCTGGTTCTTACAGGAATGCTTACATTGGAGCTTTGTAAGCATTTATGTATTCTGCTTGCCCTCTTGAAAGGGAACAGATCTGAAATATGTTTTGTTTTGTTTTCCCTTTAAGAATATTGTAAGACCAAATATAAAAACTGCTGTTAGGCAATGCATGTGGTGAAGGTCTTTGAAGGATAATGGATAAGGAGTGTCTTGTCCAGCTATGTGGTATGTTAAAGATAGCATAATATAAAAGAGATTTCGGATTCATCTTATTGAATAATATTGTTTGACAGTATTTCTTTACTTTAGACCTTCTGGGCTGAATGATGTCGTTTAGAAACTTTTGAATTTTGAGTTGGGAGCAGAAATCTCAGTGCTTAATTTTCAAAGTATCTTAGATATTGGCTGCTAAATGAAGGGGAAAAACCCCTTTCCCATGAAAATGAAACTTTCACTTGTTTCTGAGATTTTTGAGTCTTGGGCTTTTTTTTTTGGTCCAAATAAAAACTGGGTGTGGTTTGTTTTTTTTAAGTTCTCCAAGAGAACTGAAGTTACAGGAGTAATATTCACAAAATAAACTTTTGTAATGCTTTTGGACTGTCACAGGAAAAGTTAAATCCTTTTAAAAAGTATACTTTTAAAAACAGGTTTAGAAATCAGACAATGTAGGAATCTTGTGTGTTGAACTTCACTTGAGCAAAAACAATTCTTGCCGCTGAATGCTTATAGTGTAAGTAGAAGTCACTTTACTGCAGACTTCTGCAGTAGTTGGTATGGAACATCCTCAGTGAATATTTTACTTTTTGTCAATTAACATTCACATTCATTTTCTCCTCTGTATTTTATATTTATAATATTTCAGTTTTCTTTTTATTTGTTCCTCCATTACCCAAGTAAGAATTTTCTGTGTTAGATCTTTCAGCAAGTTAATGTTTCATGTAGCACTCAGACATAAAAAAGGATGTGATGTTCAGACTCTTTAGGTGTTCGTGTAAGAGAATATTCAAGCAGCAAGATTCTGTTCATATATTTTTTGTACAGATTGTGGTTTATTTACTTTATACTAAGTGGATATTTTTTCCCCACCCCTTGAGGCTAAACTTTTTTTTGCTGATGCTGAGACTGTTTTTAGAGAATAAATTAGACATTCCTGGACAAAGATGAAAACTTAGAGCATTAGAAATAATTTTTGTATCACAAGGATTATATTGGGTACAAATTTACAAATCAACGTTAGTGGAGAAAGCAGATTAAATACTTTGCGTATGGCAGTAATAAATTTTTGTTGTTAATAAGAGATAGTTGTAGTTTTGCATTAACTTGGTATAAATATAACACAATGCACACAAATGGTGGTGAAAACTTGAAAGATGTGTCCCCAGGACTCTAGTCTCTTCTCTGTTTACTTCAGAGTGTCATTCCATAAATGTTTTGAACAGTCCTTGGCGCAGGACTAGATCCAGGATGTCTTATTCCAGGTGAGTGCCCTACTTGGTTTGGCTTGTATTCCTTAGTGCAGTAAACTTTGAAATTTTTTTGTGCACCAAGGGAATGCTTTGACTTGGGTATAGTCCTGTGACTGAAAAACCTACGCCACAGTTCCAGAATTATTGTAGATGGGGAGAAACTGCTATTAGATGTTGCTGCCTGTTCATTCCCAACCTCATGCCCTTCTGAAATAAAGTTCTTTAAACGGTAGAACAAGGGTTTAGTTTTAGATCTGCAGTTCACTGTCTGTTCACATAAATGTGCATTAAAGTAAGGACATCAAGTTGTGGATTTTGCACTTAAAACTATCAAGATTGATGGCCATAAAACTGGACCTTTCACTATTACTTTAATAGAACAGATAAGCTTGGGCACTGTGCTGCTTTGTCCAGCTTCTGCAACCTAGCCTAAAGCCACAGAAAGCAGGACTTGTTTCCTGTGTTTCTCCCTCCAAATTCGGCTTCAGCAAGTTCTTATAGTTTCTTGTCCTATCAATTTTCAAAATAACGCAGTGGATAAAGATGGAACATTTTAGCAGGTACCTTTGTTACTCATGCTGGATAAGCAGGACTAGTTTGGTTTTTTTCTGCTTCCCTGTAAGCTAGTTTGTTAGCTACGTTCAGTTGACTTCTGTCCACAAATTCTGAACACGTGTACTTACATCTCAAATGTTTTCAGTTTTGAAACCTGTTTTTCAAGTAGATGTGTTTTTTCCGTTTTTATTTCTAGATGGTCCTGTACTGCTTTTCTTTTATTGAAGAACCTGATATTTTTCCTTGCTATTGAAATAGAGACTTAGAAAGATACAATTACTTCATTATTCTGGCTTACTCCCATAATAACGTTGACATTGATCTTGTCAGATCTTATATACTTCCAATACAAATAATACAAAGGAAGGCCAGGACTAGGAAACTTTAGCACATCAGGAAGTAGCATTGATGCTTTAGGGAGGAAAACTTTTTCTTTTTACCTGAGTTAGCATACAGTGGGGAGGGAATTTAAGCTATTTCAAGTGCATTCTGCCTCATGCGAGCTGAACTCTGTTATTTTGCTAATTAATTGTGCAGTTTATCATAGCTAAATTCCCCCCCCCCTTTTTTTTTTTGTCAGATTGTAGGGTAATAATGGTATGGTTAACAGCGGCAGGCAATGCTGTTTTGCTTGTGGTTACTTTTCAAGTTACAAATGTGCATGTACTTCTTCCTTTGCACTTCAAAGGTTTTTTGAGAATGCTTTTTTATCTCAATGAGATGATTATACTTTAGGGCAGGTCTTTTATGAAGATACACAGAAACCAAAATTAGAGTATGTGTTGTTTCACAGGCTTTTCCAGATAAAGCTGGAACCACGTGTAAGTATAAATTCCCTTGCTTCTTGCAGTGGGGTAGCTAACGTAGTATCACTGTCATGAAGTGTGTGGCAAAGGAGATATGCTTATTTGTAAATATTAGATCCTGTGCTTGTTTTTTATTAGCAGCCTCCTCAAATAAGTTTGGTTTTCTTTCCTTAATTCCCTCCTGGTGATAGCTATTTTATGTGTTCCGAAGGTTGTACTTATGATTTGGAAAAGAAACACAAAATAGATGGAATAGTAAACAAAGAGGAGACACTGCTGATCTAAAGTGATTTATAAAACTGAAGTGGCTGGGCTTGGATACAAGAGTTATTGGGGAATCGGCCTTAGCTTTTATTATGCAAAAGGTTTAGGTGTTCTTCCTGGTCCCTTCTAGCCTTGAGCAATTATGATGGCTGTGACCATGTGTCATTTTAAACAAAGCAAACACTAGCTGTGTTTCCACATGAGTTGCTATATGTAAGTAGAGAAACATGCCTGAGATCATTTAAATGAAATACTGTAGTCATGATAGACTTTTGTGTTCTTCAAAGGATTTTCTCTGTGTGTTACCAACTAGCATGGTACTCACTGGAATATAAAAAGAGAAACTAGATACATTGAAGGGAAGCTTCATTTATAAGCTTGGGGGGGGGGGGTTGGAGACAACACATCCTTCCCTATGTTTTCTCCCTTCTCCCCTACTCTAATCATACACCTGAGCTGTCAGTTCATACAAAAGCTTCACTTATTAGCAGTTCCCAGAGTTTCCAGATGCTTTCTACCAGTGGCTGGGGAAGATTGTGTATCATGCTACTGTCCTTGCGACGTGACTGATTTAATTTGATTAGTCACATACTGATTAACATCAGTACATTTGATATGCAAATGCTCAGTAGATCAGAATGTCAAGGATGATCATCTTTTCTACATGCAACTGTATAGCACATACGTATCTTTCCTGCTGGTTGTCTCTCATGACCCAGAGCTATGGAGTCCCGGTGAAGGAGCAGCCATGAAGCCACTAATTCCAAAGAGGGATTGAACCAAAACATCTTTTAGTTGTGCCGGATTTGAACACTCTATAGAGTTACTAGTTGAATTGTTAGAACAGAGCCTGCATGTGCTTGTAGACATTGTTTGAAATGTATAAAACCACTTGAAAAATTTACAGGAGTCTTTTTGTATTATAACTGAAGTGGATAATGATGTGTTACTGATTTTTATGATGTGTGTAGACTATGTTGTTTTCTATTTGCAATTAAATAAAGCAATATCGTATTGATCCATTTTATCTATTTAGATAATCTGGAAAGACTCAGGCTGAAACGGTAGCTTAGGTTAAAGGACTGAAAAAATAAATGAGAAGATTTACATGAGTTTGGAGATTCATTCCATAGGTACGTCGGGGATAAAAGGAAGACAAGGGAAAATGTGGGCCCTCTCCAGAACGAAACGGGAGACCTGGTTACCTGGGATACGGAGAAGGCGGAGGTACTCAATGACTTTTTTTGCCTTGGTCTTCACCAGCAAGTGCTCGAGCCTCACCACCCAAGCCGCAGAAGGCAAAGGTGGGGACTGGGAAAATGAAGAACCGCCCAGTGTGGGAGAACATCAGGGTCAAGACCATCTAAGGCACCTGAAAGTGCACAAGTCCATGGGACCCGATGAGATCCATCCGCGGGTCCCAAGGGAACTGGTGGATGAAGTTGCTAAGGCACTGTCCATCATATTTGAGAAGTCGTGGCAGTCCGGTGAAGTTCCCACTGCCTGGAAAAGGGGAAACATAACCCCCATTTTTAAAAA